CCAATATTTCCCATTTTCAGAGTGGAAATTTAAGTTTTGTGCTCAGTGAAATGGTCTTCCTGCTGCCAAATTCTGAAATAAGTCTTGCATTCTGTGACCTAGATTTATTCATCCATGTCAGGCCTCTCCACGTGCACTCTGAGCCGGTGCTTTAACATGGAGAAACATGTTTTATTTATATTAAAAACACAGAGGAAAGAACACTTTTATTTGAGTGCCAGGAACATGACCTCTACTTTATCCGATTTAAAGTGCATGCATCTGCCATTTCACTGACCTGCTGGCAAATCATCTTTATTAACAACTATTTCTTTGTTCATGTTGAAGCGGATTTTTTCAGTGCAAGGCGTCAAGGATTTCAGATGCCGAGTCAAAGCACCCGATTCTCTGAAGCTTTTCCCACACTTTTTGCATTTGTAAGGTCGCTCATCTTAACAAGAAAAAGGAGAAGGCATGAATCACCATACTGGACACTGACATCCATCAGTGCTGATCAAGAGCTTTGACCTAATAAGCCATACTTTGCGAGTAGTGCTCAGTGGCCTTTTGGAGCACGTGCGCCAGTTTGGGCCTTTTACCTTTCATTCATTTACATGCATAATCTGCAAAAACAAGTGTTCTAACCTTGGCCTCTGAGAAGCCCAAATATGGCAGAATTTATAATGTGCTCAGATCAGAAGACAGAAAGCAGACAGCTCATCACTGAGGTACCATGAAGAACCAAGTACAGCCTAGTCCAGCCAGAAAAAAACATTTTGCTGAAAGAACGAGCATCTTACCTGTGTGGCGCCGGTGGTGTCTGATTAGAGAGCCCTTTGTCCTAAAGGACGTTCCACAGAGTTTACATTCATAGTCCTTCCTGCTGCTATGAGTGATCATGTGAGCTTTGAGAATACTGGCCTAGCAAGTTCATTTAAAAATTGGGAAAAACATTTATCAGTGATTTACAATTTCATCAATTAAAGAGACATTCAAGAACAACCAGACTATTTGTCATTAAAGAGAGAATTGTGCATCTGCTAGAATGCAGAGAACAACCATTCCAAATGCTGTCAAAGTTAAAGCAGTTCATAAGTATCTAGCCTTATATGCAGGAAAACTGGACCTGCTGGAATGTACAGCTTAATACAACAGGTTATGCGGGACATATTACAGTAACTGGATGTGATGCACTACATGCAAATGAGATGCAAACCACTGCGCCTCAGGGTGTAAGCCAATCACCAAGGTGAAGCAGCAGCAGCTTCCCCTGCAGATTATTATTATGCTCAACTATTCTGGAGATTTGACAGTTTTCTCTCTGGCCACCATTAGAGACAGGATTCCAGATAAAGATTTGATTCAATGCTCTGATCTGGTAAGTGGCAGTTAATGTTTTAGCATGAATCTCCATTATTCGGGGTGATACTATTTTGAGGTAAGGTGAATCTGTAAATACTAGCACCATGCAGTTAAAAATGCATTTTCCAGCAGGTCTGCAAAGAACCCGAGGCATAGGCTTCCTAAGGACTGGGTGCCATGAGCACTTGCAAAGCAAACCTTACCGTTTTAAATGTCTTCTGACACAACTCGCACACATATCGCCCTTCTTTATTCACCAGCAGCTTCACCTTGATGAGTTCTGTGGAGACACCCTGTTCTCTGTCATCAGGGCTGTCCTGCCCTTCAGGGATCTCACCATCAATGTCACCACTGGGATTTTCAAAAACATGATCTCCTGCAACAATGACCTCTTTGATGTGCCCACTTCCTGGGAAAAGAATAGGAAGACAGTTACGTTCTTTACCAAAGATTAACTCAGAGCACTGACTGGATATGACGTTTAGGATTTCAGATAACGGAAAGGTAAGAGAAATAGGTGCCTTTAAACAGGAATAGTGTATGGCAAAGTCCATATTGACTACGTATGTAACTGTTGCGTTTCTAGTACTATGCCAAAGGTGGCCAAGGGTAGGATCAACGCTTTTGGAGTTTAAAATTAAAATAGTTATTAGCTATAACCAGGTGGGAGTTAGAAAGGGGCCGTGCAGGATTCTTACCCCCATCCCATCCTAGCAGGAGTTCAGCATGCTGCCTTCCTAACTATCAAACCAAGGGCTCACATACATCCCTGTGCAACAGGTCAACCTCTCTCAACCATCAAACCAGTCAGACAGGTGTTGCCTATGGTTGTGTAAGAGAATTAGGGATGTAATTTCACATGATCTTTGTGAATGACTCAACCATTTGTGCTGGGAGAGAGCAGAGGTTGGGTAGCCTGGTCCACTCCATTGCAGCATGGATTTATTTTATTCAGAAAACAGGTGCAAGCCAAAAGTCATCTGTGATAACAGCCAGAACAAAAGAACTGTACTCCTGCCAAACCCTAGGACAGGGACACAGTGGTTATACACCAAATGGAAGTGGCCATTACAAGAGCCAAAAAGTTTCTAATCAAGCTTTCTAAACTCTAAATTCTAAACTTTCTAATCAAGTAAAGCTTCTATGGGAAGAGGAAAAAAAGGGCAAGCGCTCTGTAATTTAAGTCTCTCTTTTTTGTTTTTTGAAAGAAGACTTATGAATTTACTAATGTAGACCCAGATGGAAATGGATCCTGGGAATAAGTAGACTTCAGAAAGATAAGCGTTAAAAAAGTGTGTGAGAGAGAGAGAATGAGTATTTCCACCACTAGTTATTATGAATATCAATATTTTAACTCAACTCCATTTGAACTAAAATCTAGCATTTGAGAGAGGATCAGTTGCAGAAATAGTCTCTCAAGGAAGGACCTGCATATGCTTGTTAAATAAATGCAGGCAAAAACTGCAATTAAATAAATGTTAAGATTCAGTCCAGAAGATTCAAATTACTTCTAAAGGAGTCATGGTCATTTTGGTGATAAACTAGAGACCTCTATCCATTAAACTGTCATGGGATGAGGATACACAGTAGTTTTCAGCCTAGTTACCTCCCTAAAAAATATAATTTACATTGCTTTACACAAAATAACGCCCCCTGCACCATCCCACCAAGACCTGAACTCTTCCATTTCGACTACGCTAGATCAAACTGCCCACAGCTAGAGTGGTCACCAGTCAAATCAATCAAAAACCTTTAGAGCACAACTACAAAAAGTGGCAAAAAAAAAAATTTCTAAAAACAGTGCCAATGACAAGGCACCTAATCCTTGCAACTTACCTACTATAGCTGATGCATTACTGATTTCTTCTGCTATTGAAGAGGTCTCAACAACTATATGAGCAACAGTTATAGATTCCTCAACAGAAGGAACAACCTGCTGTAACAGATAACGGTTTAGTAGGAAACATTAAAATCACGTCTTGCATCGTCTCCCATCTACCCCGCTACTTTGTTCGATCCTAATTATTGGAGCGTAAGCCTGCTGTCACCTTTTGTGCTTCCTGACCAAGAAGATTTGCTGACGTGGCAGTAATGGCTTCTTGCGTCCGCTGACAGATCTTTTGTAGTTTGTGTTGAACAAATTCTTCCAAGGAGGTGAACTCAGACTGGCAGCGACCGCACTTGTGCACATCATCTTCATCTGCGTTTTAAAACGAAAGAAGCGATGACATTTGGAAGTATGACATACGTTCCCTCAGGACCTTGTGACAACAACTCTTTCCTGCTTGGTTTCTTAAATCTCCTTTGCTATGAGAGGAAGCCGATGGTAGTCAGGGGTATAAAAAATTTACTCCATCAGGTATTCTTGCTCCCGTAGTAATTCTGCCTGGGGTCTGCAGAGGGGTGCGACGGCCGTACGCTCAAGAAGCGACGCTGGGCCACTCATGCAACAGGGAAAGGAGGCCGCGAGGACCAAGAGCACGGCTCTGGGGTCTGGAATCCTAGAAACACACGCCAGGATTATACACCCCAGCTGTTTGCATCTGTTATGCTAGTGATAGGGCAGTCGTTGTTTTCCCCCCTACCTACAAAACAGTAGAACAACCCCGGCAGCTGTTCCTGCCCGGGGCAGGGGTCAGACCCGATGATCTGTTGAGGTCCCTTCCCTATGATGCTTGCTCCATCCAGGACAAGCATGTGCCAGCTGCTGAAACCTCAGCCTGATGAAAGGCTTTTGAACCCAAAAGCTTGCTTAAAATTTTTTCTCCAACTATTTAAGTCGGTCTAATAAAAAGTATCAGATTCACCCAAAGAAACCTGTCTGCCTGCGTCCTTAGAGCAACACAGCCGCGACCGACACCCCTGTGAAAAATGGAGAACTCATGGGTCAGAAATGACACCTCCTATTTGACCCGCTATGAAACCGCAAAATATGTTTTTGGTTTTTTTATCTTTTGGGCTCTGAAAGGCACTTCCTCAGGCTCAGGGAAAATTAAAGATAGCAAAAAGTTCCCAGAGGTAGGGAAAAAAACGGTCAGAAAGCATACAAACTTCTTCCACGGGATAAACCGTCCCTGTGCTGGATCCCTTCACCCCTCAGAGCTGCGAGCGAGAGGGGAACGGGGAGGTCGTGTCGTATGGAAGACGCCCCTCCTCCCCGTTTTTGAGGGATTTGCCCCCCAAATAATGAGCCCGCGGTCTCCTCCCCCGCCGTTACCTCCGTCGCTGAAGGCGGCCGGGAGGCCGAGGAAGGCGGCAGGGCC